CCTGCCATTAAAAATTAAAAAAAAAATTTTTTTTTTGAGACAGGGTCTATAAGTCCCTAAATTGTCCAGACTGGGGTGAAACTTGTGATTTTCCTGCCTCAGCTTCCCAGGGTCCTGGGATTAGACTTGCACAGCCATGCCTAGCTTCTTTTCCCCCCAGAAATATTCAGCCTCTGCAGACACTGCCTTTGAGTGAAAAGGCTGGATGGAATTCCCTAGGCATCTTTATATGTCTTGCATTCATCTTTATATGCTTGGATTCTCTATCATTATCCTATGTGTTCATATAGGAGAGCATGTCTTGTTCAAATGGCAGGTGTGGATGATTAAATTTTTAATACACCAGACCTTTAAATGCAGCTTGTATTAAAAAAAAAAAATCAACAGTTGAATCCGGGGGGAAAAACCCCCACCCACAGTCTCAGGATAAACAGGATAAACCACATAAGCATCTCGTACTGGGATTTTTAGCCAGCTCCCCATTTATGCTGTCCACACACGCCATGGGTCCCTTATCCTGAGGAAGAGTCATCACACAGGGCCATATCTTTCCTATATCTTCTCTTCTGCGCTAAGCTCTCCGGGAAATTTCTTGCAACCTGGAAACTGATCTGACTGCTGCTGAATGGCTTAGTTTACAATGTCACAAAGCCTTTCTGCCTCACGTTGAATTAACGTATCTAACTTAATAAAACTTTCAAATAAAGGAACACTCATGCCAAGGAGAAGAAGGGAATATTTCTTCAAAGTTTGACCACACAGGCTTTATCAGTTAAAACGTTTTTGTGCTTACTCTGCTACTTACAATGCTGCTGGCCAGGGCTTGGTCAGGCCTGAATCCTGGTGAGGCCTAAATTGTGTCAGCAGAAATACTCGCACCTTTTAAGGACCTATTTTACCTTCTCAGATACAACAGCTCCTGCCAGGCAGCTAACTGTGTTAGAAGGAAGCGCAGTCTGTCTCCAGTATTCAAGGGTGGATGAATGCTCTGGCCCCAAAGCCAGAGTGGCCCGTTTTGGGGTCATTATCCAATTTTCACTCCTTTTCTATTTAATTATCCGGTTAGAAGCACTGTTTTTGTTTAAATGAGAATAATAACGTAAATTCCTTTAATTGAAGAGATGACCCAGAAGCAGAGAAGAAAATATTGTTTGCATATGTTTCAGTAGCAGGCGAAAGCCCCCTCAGGAGGGAAAGCATTCTCTACAACCAGCCTTGAACCAACAGCAGATGGCGCCAAAGTACCTTGGTAGCATCCAGGGTTCTCTAGCACAGCAACAGTCTAGTTGCCATTCTATCGATCTGCTTTTTCCTCTTTTTCTTTTCTTTCTCTCTTTTGAGATTGGTGTCTTCACGTTGCCCAAGCTGGTCTTGGATTTGTGGGATCCAGTGATCCTCTCACCTCTGTTTCCTGAGATCTAGGATTTCAAGTGCAGAACACCACTTTTCCTTCTTTTCTAAATTTCTAATTGCTAAGGGACTGGAGGGTTATGAGCAGTGGCTTAGAGCCCTGACTCAGGAGTTATCCTTCTTAGCTTCACAATGCCACACTTGCTAGTTGGGTGACCTAGATGAATTCCTTAGCTTGAGTTTTCTCTTGTAGAACAGGAACATGAGTAAAAACACGGTCTCATTCCTGGCCCGGTTCCCCAGTGTTAGCCGTAACTCTCTGAGTTCTCTTCCTCTCCCACCCCATATTTTACTCTCTCCAGTGGTGTGTAATCCTGTTAAATGACCACAACTGCTTTCTTGCCTAGGTTCCATGGGAAGCTTCCTGTGACTGGGGAAAACAGGTCTGATTTACAGGTGGCTCTGATGTTACATTGGTATCACCTGAGAGAGGATGACCACAGCATTGTAGAGTCAGTCCCTGCAGGGTGATCCTGAAGGGCAGTAAGGAGAAATACCTTCTTTTTTTTGTACCGGGGATCAAACTTGGGACCTTGCTCTTGCCAGGCAGGCGGCAAAACCACTGAGCTAAATCCCCGGCCCAAGAAATACCTTCTTAACAGGCACAACTTTAAGCAGTGCATTTAGTTGTTTGTTTTCCTGGAAGAAAGTAGGGATCTATTCATGGATAATGGTTTGGAGGTTCACAGACGTGGGAAAAAAGGGAAAGATTAAGAACAACCAGTTGCAAAATAGGAATTTAGATTAACCTTTTGTAAGGCCTATGTGTGGAGGCATACTTATCCTATGTGAATACTGTCTGTGCCTGTGAGCATTATAATAGTGTGATGCTCAGAACCATCAGGACAAGGAACTGACTCTGAATGCCAGTCCCCTGCCTCCCCAGGATACCTCAGTGCTCTCACCGACTGCTGCACAGTGGGCCCTAACGTCAGGAATACAGACTGCAAATGATCTCAGCACCCGGACTGTCCCTGGGAAAGGCTGATCTGGATACACTTTTGATAACTACCGTGCCTGACACCTGCAGAGCCTGAAGCTTCATTTCTGATATTGTACTCGGATTCCTAGGACCCCCCCCCCAGTTGGCTGGTAGCAGGGATTATATTAGGTTTCTTCTAATGTGATTAATTTCTTCACTGGAATAGACACTTAGGATATACATCTGATTTGTTGTACACAGTGCTTTTGTGAGTACCATCATTCTTGGATTTACCAAATTCTTATTTACCGTGATGCTCTCCAGGAATTGAACTCAGGGACTCGTACTTGCCAGGCAGACACTGTACCACTGAGCTACATTCCCATATTTACCAGTCTTATTGAGGCAGGACACAGTGTGGGAGATACCCTCACCTTAGGCTCACAATTAACTGGATGGCTTCTGGTTTTTAGAGACCAAAAGAGATCCTCACTGTCTCTCCTTAACATCCTGACATTAACCTAAGTCTTTTTCTCCTGCCACTTCTTACCACTCTTCCTTGTCCTCTGGCATGAGCCCAGGGAGCATGTGCCATTTTGGAGTAACCGGGGGTAACCCCATGGTCATTGTAATATTAGCATCAAGGCTTGGACCCCCCTGGTGGGCTTTGGCAACCATGCTCATTCCGTCCAGGCCCATGTAATGTAAAAAGCATCCTCTCTTGACATGGTAGTGGGGACTTTCAGTGAACTGGACAGGATCTTCTTTGGTGCCACCCCAGGCCCCATGGTCCCAATAAATACCTCAAAACCCAAATCAGACAGGGCTACCCTGAATCAAACTTGTTCTTGAGTTTTCTCATCAGCTCGCTTCAGCTCTGTGGAGTGTGCTTTCCTTTAATACATCTCTGCATTTCTTGCTACTTCTGCACGTGCTGCTCAATTCCGGATTGGTCAGTGTTGGTTTGGATTATAGCATTTACTGTGGTTAGAGTTACTGTATTTAGACACCCTGTCATGTCATGCCCTCTTCTTTTGTCATCCCTGTATCTTTGTTTAGAAACTTCAGTATCAGCACAGTTTACTTCAGGATAGATAATTTTGTCATTTGGGGCATGGAGTTTTAACAACAAAGATGACTTTAGAATAAGTTATTTGAGATGTTCTTGAAGAATTTCTTTCATGCTTCTACTTTTTCAGCACCTCTGTCTGTGGCCCATTGTACTGACAGGCGGACAACTTGAAAGCATATCTTCCAAGGGAACTGCTAAGGAAGCAATCATCAAGTTCTTGCCCACCAAGAGGGAATTAAAAAGCATTTATGTCTTGTGGTGGGCTGAGGAGATGTTATATTGGGAGGTGGCAGAACAGTTGGGTAATGAGAACATCACTAGGCTGGGTTTTGCCTTGCAAAGCTGGGCTGCAGCTCAGGACCAATGATGCTCCCAGTGGCTACAGTTACTTTACATATAAAAGAGGAGAAAACAAAAGCTATGAGGAATCAAAGAATAAAGAGGGGCTGAAGCCCCTTCTAGGATTTGAGGCCCTCTCTCAGTGAGTGAGACAGAGGTAACTGAAGATTATAATGTGAGGGGTTGGGCTCCTCACTAATAATAGTTAAAATTATAAATCATTATAGAATGGACATCTCAGTATACAAAAATTAGCAAGTCTTAGGCATGGTGGTGCATGCCTACAATCCTAGCATTCTGGGAGAATGAGGCAGGAGGATTACAATTTTGAGCCCAGCCTTGGCAATTTAACAACTTAGGTTTTTTTTTTTTTTTTTTGGTACCAGGGATCAAACTCAGGACCTTGCGGTCTTGAGGCAGGCAGAGGAACCACGGAGCTAAATCCCTGCCTGAATTTAGAAACAGTGAGCCTATGTCTGAAAAAAATGGCTGCTGGGAACATAGCTCAGTGCAAAGACCCTGGGTTCAACCCTCAGTTAAAAAAAAAAAAAGGAAAAAGAAGAAGAAAAAGTAATCAGAAGTCCTTGGGAAATCAGGAAATCAATTTGGGGGGTTTTTTTTTGTACTGGGGATTGAACTCAGGTCCTTGTGCTTGTGCAGCAGGCAGCGAAACCACTGAGCTAAATCCGCGGCCCTCAATTTGGGTTTTAATTCTTGTAGGTTCCAAAAAGCCATGGTAAAGTTCCTTACTCAAGTCTTTCTCAAACATCTTCACTTTCATCCAGTTAACTATTCTTAGGGTAGAGCTCTCTACATTTTTCACATTTAACTTGTATTCCAGGGATTACAATGCTCCATTGTACTGAATTGGGCTACTTCTACCAGAAAAATAAAAAGAAAACTTTAAAAAAAATGGAAAACAGGGCTGGGGATTTAGCTCAGTGGTTTTGCCACCTGCTGTGCAAGGGCAAGGACCCGAGTTCAATCCCCAGTACCAAAAAACAAAAAACAAAAACCAAAAAACAAATCCTTTTAATCATTCTAACCCTTATTTACACTATCAGTTTCTCACACTAGAGAAACTATTTGGTATTTACACATGTGTGTCCTATTTATTTCACTTAAGAGTATGGCCTCGATATGCATCCATTTAGCTATAAATGACTCTAGTTTTTCATTCTTTATGGCTGAGTAGTACTCCATTTTATAAAAAAACCCCACATCTTTATCCAGTTTCCAGTTGATGATATACCTAAAATGTACCAATAAAAGAACTTAAGAACAACAACAACAACAAATCCTGGAGTGGTGTGGGTCTCTTGTATTCTCTGTGAGGCTCTGGTGAACATATACAAAATCAATTAGATGGAGCATAATGTGGGTAAAAATCCCATTTTGCCACTTTTGCACATGTGCACACACCTTGTCATACCAAATGGGTAAATATATAGATTGTATGTGTCCTGTATCCCTCAGGGAAATATACTGACCTGCACAGCTGGCTACTGTTATGCAAAGTACAAATTTACAGTAGAAAGTAAGGAATGGGTCCGTTGGACCCAGTGTTCTGCTTAGTGGGTTAGGTTCCAATGGCTGACTGAATTCCTTGTCACTGAACCAGAGAACCTGGTCTTTACTTGTGAGAAATGTATTCATTTGCCCAGCCCCAAGGAATGGACCCAGAGGCACAAAGAACGGCAAAAGTGAGGCTTTAATTCAGTCTTGCAAGACTGGGCGTCTGCTATGCAAGAAGACACACAACAGGGCAGTTACAGTGAGTAATGTATCCCTAGCACGTAAGTCCTTTCCCCTGTTTCCAGTTCATTGGCTGAATGCCATGAGGGGTACAGCCTTCCCCAGATACAGCCTATGTTTCAGAATCTCCTGATATGGCAGTTTCCTGGTTCCCTCCCCATTTGAGTTTGGATTCTTCATACGACCATCTGTTCTTCGCTTTGGGACTTTCTGAGGAGCAGATGTTCCTGTTTAGAGATTTTATGTAATCTTGCAGTTACTGTGTTTCCACTTAGCCCTACCTATTTTATTATGAAAGTGGATCATTCTATGCCTTTCTTCTCCTTTCTCCATTCTATATTTTTCAACCAAGGCTGTCTTACTAGTTTATCTCTCCTTCAAGATCCCATTTGCGTAAGGCCCTTTTAGATGCATGAACTTTGTAATAGGCACATTCAAAGATTTGGCACTAAAATTCATTCAAAGAATAGAAAAATGTAAACAGAATTTGTAACTATGATGATTCAATATTTCAGAAAGTTGCTTTCTAAAATAGAAAAGGTTAAAAGATATTAAAAGTCAATTTCCATGAGGATGCTTGGCAGAAACTGTGAAAACAAAAAAGGCAGCAAGCCTGTGAGTGATTTTAGGTATTCTATGGATTTGCAGGGGTGATTTAGATTTTATTTATTATAAAGAATTATTGAAAGCCAAAAATCTTGAATGTTCCCAAATTTAATGAAACCTCTAATTTTAAATATAGCTAGTTATAAAGGTAATCCTAACCCCTAACTCTAATCTTTAAAAGTAACCTAACAAAAACTGCTGGCATAACTCTTAACTTCTAACCCTAAATCTATCCTAACCAAAGCCCTACCACTAAACCTTTCCGTAGCCTTCACAATTACTCAAACCCTAGCCCAGAAATCTAATACTAATCCCCAAACTAACCTTAATTGTAAAACATAAGCTCTACACCAGGACCTAACCCCCTATACCTACCCCTACCCCTAAATCATAACGCTTTGTCTAACACTGAACCCTAACCCTAAACCCTAACCTTGAACCCTAAATCCTAACCTGGAATCTAATCACTAAAATAAACTCTGACCCTCACAACAAAATTTAAACCTAACTTCTAATCCTAAACCCTAATGTCTAAACCTAACCCAAAGTAAGAGTGGCAGGGTTCATCAGTTACCTGGGGTGCCAGCTAAGTCCTGGTCTGCCCAGGAAGATTCAGCCAAGTGTTTTTGTGTCACTCTGTCAGGTTGTGTACTGAGTGTGAGTTGGGGGAAATCAGCAGCCCAGGGGCTATTTTACGTCCAGTGCAGGAAAAGTTCAGTTGAAAAGATCACAGTAGATGACCTCACTTCCTTATGATGACACTTTGCTCAGAACCCTGTTGCCAAGCAACACATAGCACCACTAACTGATGCCTGCTCACTTGTCTGGAGATATAGGACATGTGAGGATGTTTTCTTGCTGTCTCCCTACTTCCCAAGGCTCAAGCCTCAGGAGATCTCTCAGGAGAGGAGTCAGCCGCATCTGGAGAAACTGGGTCCCACGTCTCACATGATGCCTGTGGCCATTTTCTCAGAGGAGTCAAAGTGGGAAACACAGTAGCCGAGGGCAGGTCAGCAAAGGCCAGCACACTGCTCTGATCCCTCCTGTATGGGTCCAGACCTTCCCTGGCTGTGTGTGTGAGAGTGTGTGCCCAAGCACATGAGCGAGTGTCAACAAAAAATCTGTGCTGCTCTCACGTTATCATATGGCAGAGTCACTTGATAGTTTTCTGAGGTTGTGGCTTAAATTGAAAATGACCCTAAATGTCTCATGTATCCAGAGGTGGGGCTTTTGGAAGGTGATGGGATCATGTGGGTGGCTTACTTACTCATCAGCGGATCACTGGAGTCATTGATAACTCCATAGCTGAATATATTGTTGGGAATTGGGGCCTGATTGGGGAGGTAGGTCATTGTGGGTGTGACCCTGAAGGGTACATTTTGTCCCAGGATCCTTTCTCCTCCTTCTCTGCTTTCTGGCTGCATGGGTTGAACAGCTTTCCTCTGCCATGCCCTTGGATCATGCTGTTTCTGCCTTGGAGCCAGCCAATTTATGAACTAAACTCTCTAAAACCATGAGCCCAAATAAGCTTCTCCTCCTCTCTCTCTCTTTTTTTTGTACTTGGGATCAAACTCGGGACCTTCCAGTTGTGAGGCAGGGGGTGGAACCACTGAGCTAAATCCCAAGCCCTCTCCTCCTAAGTTGTGTTGAATACTGGTCCCAGAAACAGGTGATTAATACAACTACTGTTTCCATGTTAACCTCCCAAGAAGGTCCCACTCCAGGATGAAAAGGAGTCAAGCCTGACTCTGGATACTCAAGCTTGCTTAGAGCTTTTGAAGATGGATGTAAGGGAGTCCATAGTCAACCATCTTGTGTGATCTTTGCTTCAAGGGAACTCTTTGTTCCTGCACAAGTTTTTGCAAAACTACCAAGTATTTGGGACCACGCAGCAGGTGCTGGATCTGCTGTTGAAAAGGTTTGTACACCACCTTGTAGGTCAGGGGAGCTCCATCTGACTGGGTTTTGGGAATGCCTTGTGCCACTTGGTGACCCAGTGTGCTGTGTGAAAATTGGAATGCTAATAGGAGGACCTGCAGGGTATGGTCAGGAGCAAGGGAGTTGAGCCTGCAAATGCCTGTCCTGAGCTTGATCATGTACCTTGGTTGCCCAGCACTGTGGTCCACTTGAGTGTGACATTCACCTTTCATCAACATGGAGAAGCTCTCAGCATGGCTCCTCACTTGAGGCCCCAGAGAAAGTTTTCCCATCTGTGAAAGAGGCTCTGGATTCCATCTGGGAGACTCTTCTCTTAGATACAGGCAGAGCAGGAGCCCTGGGGATGGACTGAGGGGCCTGAGACCCATGGAGATATTTGCGAAGGTGATGGTTGGGTTCATCCATGGCACACACAGATATGAAGCACTAATTGTATACAGGCACATTTCTGGGTACTTAACCCAATTCAGGGAAAAAGGGCAGGAAAATACCTTTTCTCTTAGGCTTTATTTTTATGTCAGGGTAGCCAGTGACACAAGAAGTCATGAGAAGGTAGGGTAGGTGTGTTACCAGTCTCCCATATCCATTTGCTCAGGTTTGTTTGCTCAGCCCCGGAAAATCAAAGGAAGCCATTTTGGCGGGGGGGAAGAGAAAGGCTTTCTTTAAATTTCACTCCAAGGGGACGGAGGTGCTGCCTTTGCCTCAGATCACCATCTCACGTGTCCATGCGTGCAGGGATTTTCATAGTAAGGCACAGGGGAGGGGGCACACCAGAAAAGAAGTCACCTCTCCAAGCTTGCTCCATGGCTCCCAGACACATTCCATTTACCCCCTTCCTTCTGGAAATGAAATGGGGCCTGACCTCCTGTGGCAGCATCTGCATATTGTCTCCTTTGGTCTGGGTTTAGGAGAAGAGGGGGTGGCAGTTAAGTCCTCTGTGGAGAGCGAAAGGTTGAAATAACTTTGAGAGACCTCTGAGTCTCTTGAGAACATAATGAATCCTGGATATGCAGCTGGCACAAAAACAAGGATGGTTACTTGTAATGAGAGTGGTTAAATAGAGTTCGAATGTCTGCAGTGCAAGGGAATGTTATTCCCGGAGTTGTAAAGATACATTTGACCTTTTCCCTGGAAAATAATTAGTCGCCGAATTATGTGCAGAGGAGGGATTGGGGGTTGTGGAAAAGGTATATAAAGGTCAATAAAGTGGGAAGAGGGGTCTCTCCTCCACCTCTCTCTCCTTTTTCTTTTCCTCAGAGGTTGTGTTTTTCTTTCATCCTCTCCCCTCCTCTCAGGTACTGTTTGACTAGTGACGGCTGGCACCGTCACAAGTGGCGCCCGAACAGGGACCTGAGCATGGAGGACAAGGTGAAGGACGCCACCAGATTGTGAGCTCGGATAAGTAAGTAGGGGGCGGTGATATAAGATATAAGGACTACTAATAGTTGGATGCTATAAGATATGGGGACCAGTAGTAGTCGGATGCTGTTTGCTCAGATATTAAAAAGGATGCTTCGGTCCCGTGGAGCTAAGGTAGGGCAACAGCAGTTATGTCATTTTTTAGAATTTGTGGAGAGAGTCTGCCCATGGTTTCC